CCCGCTGCTGGGGTCACGTGGGTGACGGCAGCCAATCAGCGTCGCGCGTTTGGGCGGGAAGCATGCACCGTTGCCATGGTGACGGGGCCGTGCCGCCATCTTGGGCCGCTGTGAGGGGCCGGGGGGCTCTGGGACCCCCTGGGCCCCCCCTGACGCTCCCCCCACAGAAGAGTGAGGGGCAGCAGCCCCCCGAGTTCCGCTCCTTCGCCGTGGACCCTCAGATCACGTCGCTGGACGTGCTGCAGCACATCCTGGCCCGGGCCTTCGACCTGCAGGGGTGAGACACCTGGGACCCCTGCACTGAGCCCCCTCAACTGCCCCGAACCCCCCCAGACACATCTGGGACCCCACAGGACCTCCCTGAACACACCTGGGACCCCTCAGACACATCTGGGCCCCCCCAGACGTAGCTGGACTCCTCTAGATACACCTGTGACCCCATTGGACCCCCTTGGGACCCCCCCTCAGGGCCTCCATTGACACAGCTGGGACCCCCTTGGACGTGCCTGGGACCCCCCAGACCAATGTATGACCCCCCCCAGACACACCTGGGACCGCCGTGGACACACCTGGGACCCCCTGGGACTCCCCCCAGGACCTTCATGGAGGCACCTGGGACACCCCCAGACACACCTGGGACCCCCTTGGATGCATCTATGACCCCCCCAGACCCCACCCAGCCACACCTGGGACGGTCCCAAGCGCACCTGGGGACCCCCTTGGACACACCTGGGACCCCCTCAGCCACACCTGCCCCCCCAGGTGACCCCCCCCCCTGTGTTTCTCTCCCCAGGAAGAAAAGCTTCTCGCTGAGTTTTGCTGCCCGGGATGGGCAGGGCCAGGACACCTTTGTGCCCCTGCTGAGTGACAGTGACCTGGTGACGGCTTTTACCTGGGCCAGGCCCATCCTGAGACTGCGCCTGGACGTCAGGAACCCCCCTGAGAGTGAGTGACACACCTGGGGAGCACCTGGGGGGGGTAGAACACACACCTTTACCTGGGCCAGGCTCTCCCTGAGGCTGTGCCTGGGCACGAGGAACCCCCCTGAGTGACACACCTGGGGGGCACTTGGGACACAACTGGGGGGGAAAACACACCTGGGACACACCTGGGGGGTTAAAACACACCTGGGACACATCTGGTGGGGATAGAACACACACCTTTACCTGGGCCAGGCCCACCCTGAGGCTGTACCAAGGCGTGAGGAACCCCCTTGAGAGTGAGTGACACACCTGGGGGGCACCTGGGACACACCTGGGGGGTGGGAAACACCCCTGGGACACACCTGGGACACACCTTCACCTGGGCCAGGCCCACCCTGAGGCTGCACCTGGACTTGAGGAACCCCCCTGAGAGTGGGTCACACACCTGAGACACACCTGGGGGGGAAAACACACACCTGAGACACACCTGGGAGGGAAAACACACCTTAGACACACCTGGGAGAGAAAACACACCTGGGACGCACCTGAGATGCACACACCTACTGTCAGCTGCTTGAGTGGGTCCCAGGTGCCAGGTGGGG